GTCATCTACAAGCTTTGCAAGTGGGAAAACCTGAAAAATCAACAGTGTATCAAATACTTGTTCTCCCCACTGTACATGTTTAAACATACGCTGCTTTCAGCAAATCAAACGCACCCCACAGCTTTATCCAATCAGAGCAGAGCAGGGCGGGTCTTTCTGATGTCGACTCGGTGCAGCAGTCTGCAGGATAAACACCGGTTCAGCTCCTGTCCTGTCCTGAGTGAGCAAACCCTGTCCTCCACACTTCTCTCCCGAGCTACCAGAGACGTAGGTATCTAAAATCTAACACACTATAAGTTTGTGTTCAGAGCATCGTTACCTAACAGATATGTCCAACTTTGCTCGCGTGACCAAACTCCTCTCCTCAACAGCGTGCCGAGATGCGCACAGGCTGAGTTCTGTGAGAGACGCTGCTTCTCCAAAATATTAACTCAGATGAACACTTTGCCCCAGTATAGAAAAGACGAGTCTCCGCTTAGCGTTAGGCACCACCTCCCACTCTCCACAAAAAAAAAAAAATTAAAAATAAAAAAAATTTATTAAAAATAAAAAATAAATGCTATGTACTTTTTGTAGTTTATCTTTTATTTAGAACCTTACTGTGACTAGCCTGGTAAAAACCAGACCCTGTCCTTCACTTTGCTTCGTACAAGGGTCTGGACTTGCTGCATAGAGAATCGATTCTTGCAGGAGGCATGGTCTCTGCGTGTATGTGTTGGCTCTGTGAAGGAGGCTAAGCTAAGAAGCTAACCGGAAATCGCGAGCGCTGTAAACAACCCTACTGAGAGGAGAGAAGTACCGAGCTGAACGAGACGGCTGTAAATGAGAGATGCTGCTTTGTCAAACAAATTTAATTTAATTTGGAAGCCTTATCAACACRGACTGGCTTCATTCACTTCCTCCACTGCCGTATGCTAAACTAACTAGCAGACACTGCGCAGAACATCAATGTCGTTCAAAACTCCACCTTCTGTTTGCTGATTGGCCCAGGTAAAACAAACTACAAGCAGACACTGTGCAGAAAATCAACGTTCTGTTCTCTGATTGGTTTGGCTAAAAATCTGTCAGTGAAATCCATCTCTATGGGAGAAGTCCCAGACGCAGCAGTGAAGCGAAACTAGAATTGAGCGTAACTGTGTAGGAAGGCAAGGGCCAGACTATACTGTGACTGAACTGCTCTGTAATTCAATAAATAGTCAAATATGAAGGATAAATAGTATTAAATGATTATATGAGCTTTCTAAATAATATCTTTTTGAAATAAATTGTTATTTTAATTGAGAAATCAGTCAGGCTAACAAATAAAACGTAAAGTTATTTTGTCAATTTCAAAAGACATATTTGGTATATTTTTTTAAATATAAAGTTATAGTACATACATATATAATG